CCATCGCTCACGTGCAGGGCAGTTTCGCTTGACGTGGCCAGGCTTATCGCAAAAGAAGCACGTGAGCCCGCGAGGCTGAGAACGACCACGCCGATCGCGGCTCCTTGAAGGGCAGTTTCGGCGGAGGTGCCCAACTTTTCCGCACTCGAAACAAGCCGAGCTGGCAACTGGCTGGCTCTTTCCACTACTGCTACTGCTCGCCGCCGCTGCCACTTCCTCCGAGGCTCTAGCTAGCAATCGCGAGTCGCTCTGCGCTGACCTCAGAGCTCGGATCGATGCCAAACACCCGCTCACGGAATGTTCCTTCGAGGCCATGGACAAGCGTAATTCCTTCGCGAAGGCGCTTGGCAATCCGGACACCATCTGTTCGATCAACAATGGGTCCTTATCATCGTCGGCGGCGTGCCCCGCCAGGCTCGCGAGCCTCTGTAGATCGGCCACGTACGCATCGGTCGACTCGTCTTCTCGTAGAGTCCGAGTCGTGAATGCACGGTACGCCTGTGCCTTCGTCAGGCTGAAGGACACTTTCATCTTCTCCTTCACCTTCTCCTCGTCCTTCTGGTCGTCGGCCGGCATCCGCGTGAATACCAGGAACGCGTCTCCATCCAAGAACAGTGGAAAGTTCTTCATTCGTTTCTCCGCAGAATCCCATCCTTGGATCTTGGCTAGGACGCTGAACTTCCCCCAGAAGTGTTCCCAGTCGTCCCCTTTGCCACGATACGCACGAACGAAGTTGTCGACCTTCAGCGACGCCATCGTAGATCGCTGTTCCTGCTGCTCCACCGCTAGAGCTTGAGCGTTTCCTGCGTCCTCCGCCGGTACGACGCTGTGAACCCTTTGCGAGAGATCCCGGGTTTCGGCACCACAAAAGCTGTAGTAGAATACTACGGACCTGGCTCGCTCACACAACGTCGTCTGGAGAGTCTAACTCAAAAACTAATCTTTCATGGATATGTTATGCATTATATCATGTCATGGACTACGGAGCTTAGGCTAGGATCAGTACAGTGCTTGCACATAACAGACAGCAGGCTGACCCGGAATAGAAAAGCTACATTACACAATGTATCGGCAAGAACATCAGCAGACCTAATGATCAACCATAATCAACTATATTTCTAAGGGGTCGTCACAAGGAGGGAAATCTGGCGACCATCTGGTGGAATAGCGATACCTACACCTACATAGAACACCAAACAACGCACATCTATGGTTCTAGCACAAGCACGGCAGGGCATGTACCTGTCAGCAGTACGTAATACAGTCATAGTCATACATAGATGTACCATGCAACTGCTTTACTCGCTAGTCAATGCAGGACATGCAAGGATGGCACCTTGTCCAGTACAGTACAATCACACACCGCATACCAATCAAAACTAATGGAAGCACACACAAGGCTTATTGTTACTCTGTACTGGCCGTCGTGGAGCGATAGCAATTACCTAATTTCAGACCCAGAGTGAATTTGACGTGCACTCTAAAACGTGTCCGGTTTGGAGCCACCTCTGATTTGAACTTTTTTGAAGCGAAAAATTGGGCAACTTGGAGGCAATGGGTCAACACAAAGGAGTGGCTCAGTTCGATTGACTCTGGCCCCAGAGCAAACTTCAACATGCCAGTTTCCTTCCACAAACATATTTCGAGTGAAAAATCAACGCTGATGATCGGTTTGGGTCTATACAAATTGGCTGTCAAAACGTCCCGGTATCGAGCCGTCTCCTCTACCATGTGTACTGTACTACTGAGTCTGGCAGACACACAATCATGTTTATGCTTCGCCACCAGTTTCGGATCAACAACGAGTTGTAAAATATTGGTATTTTAGGACTCCCTGCCCTGAAGACGAGCACCGCGCCGTGGATCTAGCAGATCCGGCCGCGCCGGCCTAGCGTGCTTCACTTTCTGGCCGAGGCAAACATCGTCCGCGGCCGCGTATCCCGTGTCATCTCCCGGGCTTTTACGACTCCCTGATGCTGGCATACATGTAACGGTTAAAGGGGAAGTATACCCTAAAATCAAATTTTCACCAGTTGTAGTCTTCGGGGTGCTGAGTCGAATGGTCTTGGTCCGAGGAAGCTGCGACGCTCCCTTCCTACTTGAATCCCAATCGAACTCGCGCACTTCCACCGAAACTGGGTGACTGCGCCCTACTAGATGGGGATTTGTATGCAAAATCTCACTAAAAGCGCCATTTCGTTCTTATAAAAGCACGGATGACCGCGATTGGCCCATATGTTGTAGTCTTTTGGACGCTGAGTCGACTGGTTTTGGTCCGAAAAGGCTGCGATGCAGCGTTCCTCCTTTATTCCCAATCGAACATGGTTGAACACGCGGTCACGTGCTCCTGGGTGCCCAAATCACCTGGTCACCGCGCCAGCAGGCGACAACTTTCACACCAAGGTTCAACTCGAGTTCAACTCGAGTGACAGGAGTGCACCCAAAAAAGGTCAAACAGGCTAGTAAGTTGTACCCTGCAGGCACGGTGACCAGGTGACTGGTGTACGCAGGAGCACGTGACCGCTTCTTCAACCATGTTCGATTGGGAATAAAGGAGGAACGCTACATCGCAGCCTTTTCGGACCAAAACCAGTCGACTCAGCGTCCAAAAGACTACAACATATGGGCCAATCGCGGTCATCCGTGCTTTTATAAGAACGAAATGGCGCTTTTAGTGAGATTTTGCATACAAATCCCCATCTAGTAGGGCGCAGTCACCCAGTTTCGGTGGAAGTGCGTGAGTTCGATTGGGATTCAAGTAGGAAGGGAGCGTCTCAGCTTCCTCGGACCAAGACCATTCGACTCAGCACCCCGAAGACTACAACTGGTGAAAATTTGATTTTAGGGTATACTTCCCCTTTAAAGGGGAAGTCCGGTGAAAAATTTAAATTTCAGGGTCGGTCGAGTTTCGGGCGCTGAGTCGAATGGTGTTGGTCCCACGTGTCTCCGACAAAGCGTTCTCGAGATATTTCCGTTTGAAAAACTGAGTTTCGGGGGCTGCGCCATGACGTCATGCGGCCGCGCCACACCCTCCGCAACGTCATAGCGTGCAGCTAGGTCAAAAGGAGTGCGTGAAAGCAATAGTGTCAGTGCTATTTCAAATGATTTGGCGACTGATAATAGGTGGTGCAAGCGACCCTGAAGACCTAACTCCTTGCGAGAGTGAGGATGCAGCCATGGCTGACCTTCATGAGTTTGGTCTGGGGCTGAGAACCTCGGTATTCAGCTGAAGAAATGGCCGCGCGGGCCGGTCAAGAGTGAGCGCTACTGAGTTTCCGACTGATGAAGAAGCAGCAGCTATTGCAGACGAGGCTGATATAATTATCAGATCGCTGGAGAGCAGGGTCGCCAAAATGGAGAAGAGTGATGCGAGTGCTCTAAATGTTGTTCCATACCGATTCACTTAGACTCCAGTAGCCTGCCACATGGTGATGTTTTGGTGCGAACTTGGCATATTTCGGACTACTCAATTGGAGAACACTGCAGGCTCTTTGAACCACGGGCACGACTCTTCGCTCGCAACGCTATGGAATCTGAAAGTTCTAGGTCCTGGAGCTGTTCGCTGTTTTGTCACTTGTCACGGTTGTGCACTCATCGCTGTAGCATAAAATAATGAGGCGGGACTGGAGCGGAAAACTAAAATTTTCTTTCTCAAAGCACAACCACCGGCACCGGCAAGGAGAAACGCACGCTCTCTGACTACATGACTGGACGACTGATGCGAGTGTAGTACATGTACATGACAAGTCCGTGTGTTGACTAGTTTTCTGAGTCTTGTGTCTCGAGTCTTTACTTGTTGTGGATACTATTACTAGCCCAGCACGGCAGTGCTGGAGTAGTTCCGTGTGTGATGAGTTTGTTGACTGCACTACCTGACTACAGCTAGAATGCACGCAGCGCATTGCTATTACTAGAGCCGTAGAGGCCATTGCATGCTGACGGAAAAAGTCCAACTCGGAAACGGCTAAAATACGGTGTAACCTCGAGGCTTACCGAGCTGAAAATCACCAGATCACAGGGTACGTAGCGTTTGTAACACTGAATCGAATGGTCTTGGTCCGAAGAAGCTGCGACAAACGGTTCCCCAATCGAACGCGCTCCGAATATGGCCATTTTGTACACGACTAGATGGTATGGCTACCTGGTTGCACGCTGTGACGTCATCACCTGGATCTGGGTGATGCGCGCTCAAATTCGCACATGTTCGATTGGGCGTATCTGACGAACCATAGGCCGCAGCCTCCTCGGACAAAGACCATTCGACTCAGCGACCCGAACTCTACGGACTGTGAAATTTAAATTTTTCACCGGACTTCCCCTTTAACCGGTTCCCGTAGATCGACGCGCACGCGTCTATATACATGTATATTATGTGTGTAGTCGACTATGTATGTGATCAAGAGTACATGAAAGGTTTTCATGTACTCTTGATGTGATGTATATCTGCGGGAAAATTCTCCAAAACTTCCGAAAGAAGTACTGTATAAGCAGAAAATTTCGTCGGTCAATAATTATTTCGTCCAACTCCAAAGAAAGGGAGTTCGTCCGGTTGTAAATTTCGTCCATGGATCATAAGAGTGTATTGAAAAGCTGGACAAATCAAATTCAATATTAGTCCGGCATGTAACGTAACAGCTCGTTGGACGAGAAAGACGAAATTAAATTCCAGACGAATATTTCTGCTTGTACTGTAACTAACTTTAAATAGTTGCAGCATGCAGTAAACAAAAAATGCAGCGAAAAGATGCGGAACTTCCCAGAAATTCGTGGAATAACGACCTTGGAGGGACAGCAATATGAATATTGCAACACCCCGTTATATGGGTGTACGGCACAGCCAGGGAAACGGCCAGTATCATTGATAACACTACACTAAAGGGACTATCATTGACAATGCTTTTGCATATATCGGAAACCAGAAATTGGTTATTGGTCGGGTCCCAAATTCTGCAAAGAGCATTCACATGCCGTGTCACGCTCACACTAGCAAACACCAATGATTTCTTTCCGAAGATCTCTATCATCAACATTGAAATGGATAGCAAAGAAAAACATGGAAATGGCAGAATGCAAATGATCGATGAGAACAAAGCAACCAAATACGTCGTCATTCAATGCCGTCATCGTCATGGATCGGGCCAGTAATTGCACAAGCCTCTACCAGCAATCAGATGACAGATCCAGGGACACTCCTACAGAACGGAACAAATGAACAGGATAGAAGGATAATGAGACACAGCAGCGGCAGACGGCTAACAAGGGAAAGTAACAGAACATGCTCAGACAACCCAAAGGGCACGTATTTTCATTCGGAGCCTGGCAAACCAAGGGGTTCTCCCTTTCGGGCACAAGGTTCAGCACAAGTCCTCAAGTAGGTATGTAATCATCGCAAGGATAGAAAGTCAATAAAAAAACAAAGCAACAAGAACATACCAGAGGTAACAGCAGCGAGCACGAAATTGAACCAGAAAACGCGAGCAGCGACAGGGGGAAACCTGGAAAAAAACAATGACACCAGCAACACACAGTAAGGGCACTACAACAGAACAAGAGACAACAAAACACAGCAAGGTTTATGCTCATTCAAAGTCTTCTCCAAGATAGATCTCGGTCCGCACGCGATAATCAGAGCAAAGAAATTTACAAAGAAAACACCTGTGGAAGCTTACCTGAAGGGATAGGAGATTAATTGCTGGCACATCTCAGTGGCTACTTGTGAGCACTAAAATTGAGCCCATTTGCTAGAGTGGCTCCATGGTAACTGCAACAAGAAAGATGAAAGGGGAACAATTGACAAATTTCTAATTGAAAATGTGGAAATAATCTCCACAGTATACGCTCAGATTCGGGAAAATGTTTCATCAACATATCAGGCAAACGTAGAAGGATCATCCTTGCGATACAAACAAAACGTTGCAACATGGAGATGGTTACAGACTTACCCCGAATTAGGGTTTCGGAGGATTGAACTAGACATCATCCGACACCGAAGCAGGGTTTCGGAGGATTGAACTAGCAGGGTTTTTGGCGAACGCACTGCACACCTCTGATAGAGATCCATCCTGGGCAACAGAGAGATGGAATCAAAAACGGACCATGAACACTTACAAAAAAAAATCAATCAATGACACGGAAGCATATTGGAAGTGATCAGCAATCACATAGTTTATCGTCATAGAAATTGCTTATAATATTTCGGATGACCGTCGTGATTGAATTCATCATCTCACAGAAGAATCGGGCAGTAGTAAGGGAATACATATCAGGCAAATGTAGAAGGATGGTCCTTGCCACACACACAAAAATAATTGCAATATGGAGACTTACGGATTCAGGGTTTTCGTAGGAGTACATTAGACATCACCCGACATCGAAGCAGGATTTCTGGCGAGCACTGCACACCTCTGGTAGATCCATCCTGGGCAACAGAGAGATGGAACAAGAAAACTTACAACATGAGCACGTGCAAAAAGAAATACTGATCAATGACATGGCAACACATTGGAAGTGATCAGCAATCACATAGTTTATCGTCACAGAAATTGCTTATAATATTTCGGATGACCGTCGTGATTGAATTCATCATCTCACAGAAACAATAATCTAGACAGCAATAAGAGGAACTTACTTGATGGCGCCTTTTCCACAGGAAGAACCAAAGCAACAACCAATTCCCAGCTTGAAATGTTGAAGACTGTTTCTGCACGAGATTTTATGTTCAATATCTGGCGGCCATCTTGGTGACGCATGCGCACCGTTAGCATAGCATGGGGTTGCTGCCATCATGCATCACGTCACTGGGCTGATGCCGAGCTACCTAACGCCTGGTGGCACTGGTGCCATGCCAGTAGTACAGACTACAGTAGTACAGGGACAGTAGCGGTGCGGTGATGAACGCCCCGCCGCGTTGACTCGCACATTTCATGCACCACACCAGCTTTCTACGCACTCAGTGATCAGTGAAAACTGTTCTGCTCGTACTGTATGGGGTGCACTGACTGTGCCGACATGGGCTGTGTGTACGTACACACACTACAATCCACACTCGAACTCCAGACGGACCACACTCTACTGTTTGAGCGTAGCAGCAAGTAGCTGGTCAAGTCTCGATTCAGCTTGGCTGTGTATTTTCGAGCTTCTCTGTCACTTCAAGTTTCAAGCTTTGTAACTGTGTGTGTGTGTTCGATGAAGATTTTCAACGATAAGGATCCTCCTGCCGAACTTCTTGTAGACTGATTATATGCTGGCCGGCGACTCTGGGACTCTCATCAGTTTAGCTAGTCACTGCGAGAGGCTCCAGGCTTCTCGCTTTATATTCAGCCGGTTTAGTTGATCTCATTTACGTGTATAATGTCTATGGTAAGTATTTTGGTTTTCAGGGTTCGCTTCTTCTTGGCTGTCATGAGGAGTTGGCGGAGTTGCTAAGGAGTTTGGATGGTGTGATATGCTTGTTAGAGCAATGGAAGGTCAGGTATGAACTATGACAGAGATGCTGATCCCGAGCGCCTTTTCACCAAGCTGGAGAGGATTGGCAAAGGCTCGTTTGGTGAAGTGTTCAAGGGGTAAGCTGGTGTTAGAGCACCGTGGCGACTGTTACTGTTCAGCCCTGCTTTGGAACACCCGATAACTGTGGCCTTATGCCGATTTTTGGAACTGTCCTGCGTTGACAGAATCGACAATGCCACGAACCAGGTCATTGCAATAAAGATTATTGATCTTGAGGAAGCAGAGGATGAGATCGAGGACATTCAGCAAGAAATCTCAGTCCTCTCACAGTGCGATAGCAGTTACGTGACCAAGTACTATGGATCCTACTTGAAGGTGAGTTATTGTCGTTGTTACTCCCGTAACACGGTACCTCAGTGTGATAGATAGCAACCGGAGTCCGAATTGTACTACTTGCCAGTCATGCCAGTCATGATCGCCAATTCTCAAGTCGTCAGTTGTCTTTCGCATGTAACATTCTATGACTGAAAGCGCGTTTGTTTGTAGAGTGTGCTGTACAGTTTGATAGATAGGGCTAGTCTGTAGTTGGCTCGCGTGTGCAGTAACATTCAGTCACCGTGTCTTTGTGAGATTTGATGAAAGATTTCCGCATCAGAGACATTGAATTGTTGACTTTCTCAAATATTTTTGTATCATAAAGTGGATTACAAATTAACAATACTAATTATAGATACTGAACATGTGTGTAGTGCTTTTTTGTTTGTTTGAAGTGCAACAGCATCTTACCTGTTCCTGTACTGTTGTCTATCTGTTTACAGGGTGCAAAGCTATGGATCATCATGGAGTTCCTTGGTGGTGGCTCAGCACTGGACATAGTGAGTGCAGAATGGATGCTTGTTGTGTTAGTTGTGGAATTGCGCGTCTGATCCCTCCCACTTCCCCTGCACCGTCAGTGGCTGGGCGTCTGTGTTCCGCATACGATAGAGCTCACTGTGACACGAGCTCTGCTTGACGGCACACGGTCACCTGTGCATGCATACAATGGCGGTGGTAGTTTTATGTGTACTGTCGGGCACTGAAGAGCGGAGCGCCGAAGAACGAACAGGCTAGAATTCCACCAAGCACAGCATACCAACGCAAACATGGTGACTCAACTGTGCATAGACGGTAGAACATGAAAATGAGAACGGCCTAGGCTACGAGGCTGACCGACAGTGCTGTAGGCTATCTTTGTGTAGCGTGCTCTATTTTTCATATCAATGAGCGGCGTATTGTTGTTGGGTGTGCTCACTCTTCTGTTGTGAGACAGTTCTGGCCTCCACTTGTTACAGTTTGCAGTGTTTTTTTCCCACCTTTCTGGACAGTTATACAGTGATAGCTTTTTGCTTAGTACGGACACTCCACTGCAACTTTAGCATTCTAAAGCATGATGCACAATATCAAATCGGTGATGCGATGAGCGTTGAGCAAAAGTCTTTCATATCGCGCGAAGAGTCGTCTATACACAATGCACGGCACATCGCAGCGAAATCCTGCATGGCACACACACAGTCTAAAAACTGTATGCGACCCGGAGCACTTGTGTCAGGTACGCCTGCTGTGTAAAAGTTATGTGCATCGCTCGTCACAAAAGTTCAACTTAGCGCACCTTTCCGCTATGCGAATTGTGTTGCAAAACTTTGCAGAAAAGGCTCTCGAGCACATCACCTGTCGTAGAAGCGATAATGTGCATCGCGCTCAAGAACCACGATTGGAATGATGAGGCTGGAATTGGTCCCAAGACTTAACAACGTGCCAAGTTTGAATTACCAGAAATCTGTCTTCTCCGGGCTAAACTTGTCGACCCAGTGTTACTGTGTTGTACGTACTGCTGTGTACACAGCATTAGTCATGCGTGCAGCCGTAGGTTATGTATGAGAGTGGACAGGCTGCACAGGTCACCAAGCAGTTGCCTGTTTGTCTTGTTGTGCGATGCGAACGGTCCATGCGGCACTTACTGCATGTAGCTGTCCATTGCTTCGGGTGTTGTCAAAGCTGTCTCGGCCATGCTGGTTGCTTTGCTTTGTCAGGCAGTTACCCTTTCTACCGTGTTGACTATGCTCTCCGGCCTGATACACACATGCTTTCATGTACATGTTCATGCAGAATCGCCCTGAGGATTATCTGGACATAGGGCCCAACCCATTGACTGCTTTGACTGCATCTTGATCTTTGGAATCTGATCAATTTTGTGGCCCTGTGTTGTCTGTACTATTCTTTGCAGTTGAAATCTGGATCAGTGGATGAGTCTTATATTGCTGCCATTCTGCGGGAAATCTTGCGTGGCCTCGACTATTTACATTCAGAGCGAAAGCTACACAGAGATATCAAAGGTGAGTGCGAGCACCTACGTACGCGTGCTATTGTGTATCGTAGCTATTCTGAAATTGACTTCAGAAACATGTCCAAGAATTGCTGCGCTGTTCAGGCTCAGTTGATGGACGAAAGTGACTGTATAACTGCATGTAAAACAGTTACTGTGGTACTATGTTGACTCAGCACCGCAGCGAGAAATGGAGCTGAATGAGAACAGTTTTCCCCGGGCTAGAATTTAAACCATGCACCAAAGCATGTTGCCGGTCTGCTCCAACTGGCTAGTCAGTGACCTACTGGTACACATGGTACGAACGGCATCGTTGCCTCACTAGGGAACAGGGACGGAATACAATCATGTACTTATCTCCAGTCAATACTGGGGACTCATCGGCGCCGCAGCAGAGAGAAATGAGGCCGCATGTGGTAGCAAAGAAAATATACTTCTCGGTGCCAGAAATTTAAATCAGACCTGAACACATCTTGCCAGAATGTTCGAACCAGAAAGTTGTAGCATGCTGGGAGTCGACACGGGATCATAGTACCCTAGACGAGGTGCGTCTCGACCCCGAATTTGGAAGTTTTATGTCATTCGTGATCCATGCAACTCGCGATCACTGCCTTGACCTACTGACCTCAAGCGCAGCCCAGACGAGCGATGTCATAAGTGAGTGCTTGAATTGGCCCTGACCCAAGGGTGACTGTAGTGGGCATTCAAGGCGTAGAAACCCAAATGATTTAGCGTTGCAGTCGCCCGTGTTGTCTCCGTGTGTGCTACGACTCGCTGGTTCAAACTGACAAGTCGACGATGTATGTGTAAAGCATTCTGTGGCACAGCACAAAAAAAAATTTGGGGTAGTAATCCATTTACTTTTGGAGAATCTTTGAGTACTTTGGAGAATCCTTCAAATAAAGTCTGAAGGTTGTTCTGTTGGTCCTATCATGATGATGTACATTGTACACTGTCTTCGAATCACTTTGCAGGCAGGATGCCAATGTGCTATGAGTGGATGAGAATAGGCTCGGCCTGGCTGACTGGTGGTACCTGGCGTTTCCATGCTAGCTATTTGTGGCTGGTTTGCCAGGACGTGTGTTCAGTTGCCTGGCATGTCAACTTTCAGTGTGGAGTGGATTCTCTGTGTACAATTTCTCTGAACATGGTCTGTAATTTTGCAATTTTTTTGTTGTCCAGCTGCCAATGTTCTTCTATCTGATACGGGCGAGGTGAAGCTTGCGGATTTCGGTGTAGCTGGTCAGCTAACGGATACTCTAAATAAGAGAAGTACGTTTGTTGGTACACCGTTCTGGATGGCGCCCGAGGTCATCAAGCAGTCAGCGTATGATACAAAGGTAAGGCTAGGTAAGGCTAGGTTTGTATTATAACTTTGTATCCAGCGTGGAATTGAATGCGAGCTTTTCTAGATCAGTTTGTGTAGCAAGTTCATTTTATTAAAATCTTCATCACTTCATGTGTGGCGTGTATCATGGGAAACTAGGTATACAGTCAACTTCGCTAATAATGACTCCGGATATAACGACAATTCGCAAATAACGACATAATTTTCATGCCCGGAGCAAAGTCCCATCCAACTGTGACACATATAATGAGACTTCGGATATAACGACACTTCGCGAATAACGACACTTTTCTGATGCCCCGCCGAGTGTCGTTATAAGCGAAGTTGACTGTAGTCCCGTTATCTACCCAACTGTTGCACTTCCGTAAGTTGAGTTCAGTGAGTTCTGCAGTCCGGGTATGGAGGGAGTGACTGAGTTGATGAGTAGAACCCACACATTGCACATTGGTGCGCTAAGGGAGACACGGCCGTCTGCTATGTCGCTTTAGCTGCAACCCGGCGGTGGGTATGTTCACTGGATGCGGGGGATGAGGGTGGGGCTGCACAATCTGATAGATTCCACTGCGGTTGCTTCTGCTCTGAGAATAGGGTGTACCCGCCTGCTTGGTCGTTGGAAAGGCGGATCTGTACTGTACACGTAACCTGCACTTTTCCCTGTTTCCTTTCTGTGCTCTTCTTCCGTTTCAGGCGGATATTTGGTCATTAGGAATCACCGCAATAGAGCTCGCCAAGGGGGAACCTCCCAACTCGGACCTTCACCCGATGCGCGTTCTATTTTTGATCCCGAAGAACAACCCGCCTGAATTGCAAGGAAACTATTCCAGGGCGTTCAAAGAATTCGTTGCTGCTTGTCTCAATAAGGATCCGAGTGATGTAAGAGGTTTTTTAAAAATAGGCATGTTTATTTGAGCTGTTTCTGCATGAATGCTATTTTTTCGCATTTGTGCATGGGATAGGGGCTGATGATATTGCAAGCTTTGGTCTATTAGGCTTGTCTATCTTGATTTGTGTGGCTATCCAAGGATTGGTGGTGGTGGGCATTACTTTCATTCTTCTGCTTCGTCCATTCTCTGCATCATTCCCTTCAAAGTGCATTACGCGTATTCGCTTCAGCCTTCACAGGGTGTTTCTTGTGTTCTGATCCGACTCCGGGTTTGTGTGATTTGTTTATGGTGCTTTATAGCGACCCCCTGCGAAAGAGTTGTTGCGTCACCGGTTCATCCGCGGTGCGAAAAAGCAATCTCATTTAATTGAGTTGGTGGAGCGACATAAGGCATGGCGAGCAGCGGGTGGTAACACGGCAGACAGGGAGAGTGATAGTGATAGCAGCGACAGCGATGAGTAAGTACCTATGCATGCACCTGTATGTTTGCAATCCGTTGTGCCGAGAGTGATCACGTGTTCACTTTTTGCTTCAGTAGTAAGTTTTACCATGCATTCAAACATACTTGGCCTCTGGGCTTTTTTCGAACCCGACTTGGATCTCGAAACCCTTTCTTTGATTTTGTACTTTGTGTTTCTGGCCCGTACCTAACTACTTTGTGTCATATTTGAACTTGGCTGGAATTCTAGCTTGTGCCTGTACATGGATTACTCCACAGTGGCACTCTTGAAAAGTTGGTCCAGGCCTGTTCCCAGATTACTCATGCAAGGAAATTGGGATGTTCTCCAACCAGTTCTGATTTATAGTGAACCTGTTGAAGCTACATAGGAGCAAGCAACTTCACTATTGAAGCTCTGTTATATTTTTAGATGACTGTAGTCTCTTCATGCCGAGTCAATGAAGTTGATTTCTTTGACTGCTTTATACGTTTATGTGTTCTGAGAATCTCTGATCCCGATCTGTTTTGTCATTCGACTCTTCTGAAGTAGAATGCTAGCTACAGGTATCTGCCGACAGTGCCCTAGTGGACTCAATTTCCCCGCTCTACGTTTTTCTTCAGACTTTTCCCCTTTTCAATTCCCTCAACTAGTGAATACTCTTACGTTTTTGGATTTGAAGTGTAGTTGATGCGGCACGTTGTACTAAGGCACTCGGGTTCCTTGCTTGTGCCTCCTGCTATGTCTGTGTAGGAATGAAGAGGAGGAAGAATCGCCGGAGTGGAACTTTGATACAGTGCGGGAAGGTAGCGGTGCGGGCGCCGCGATGGCCGCAGCACTGCGCGGTGGCGAGGAAGTAACAACGAATGGCGAGGTGACAGCGTCTGCCTCCGCAGCGACAGCATCAGCAGACACATCGACAACAACAACAAGTGCAGCGGCAGCATCTGCACCTGCGCCAGTGGCTGCACAGCCGGCAGCGCCTGCAGCAGCAGCGGTAGCTCCTGCACCTGCGCCTGCACCCGTTCGAGCGGTAAGGCTCTTCTCTCTGCATTATTCAGCATCTTCATTTTGCTGGCCTCAAGCGAACGTCCCTGGTTTGAGTCCTGGTGGTGACAGTCAATTTTTCTTCAGACTTTTTCCCTTTTTCCATTCCCTCAACCTATGAATACTTCATTTTACGATGTATCCTTGTGCAGGTACTTGCTGCTCTCGTTGTGTAAAGCCTGGGTTTTTTTAGTGATGTAAAGAATATTCTAGAATACCAACACCAGAAAGAATATTCGAGTGCAGGCAGCATTATTCGATATTCGAAAATTCGAAAAATTGGCACTTTTTGGTTGTGTTATTTAGCTCCAACCTTGATCTCCTGAACAGTATTGAGGATGACAGTATATAAAATATTTTCTGAGAACTGTGAAGCTTGTTCTTGAGTAAAGTCTGCTCTGTAAGCAGTGGCAATGTGATCTGTGTGCAACATGAATGTTGAGTCTGATGGAGTGAATTGATCGACGCACATCACAAGAATAATAGAATATTCGAGAGAGTATTCGTTCGAAGAAAACACCATTCGTTACATCACTAGTTTTTTTAACTTGACGTAACGCTGACTGTACTGGCTCTAAGAGCCTGTCGGCAAGGCTGGGCCGAGCTGTAAAATCCAGTATGATTTGTACGACACTACATTAAGCAGTTGTTGCGCTGCTCAACATTGATCGTCGCGAGTCATAAGGCACGGTCCATGGCGGATTGTCTTTCAGCTAAGTTGCAGTTGCGCGTCGCGTCGAATGTGAACCAGGCTTATCTGTCGGTGAAGTGGACACGGCTTATTGTAATTTTAATAATAATACAAATGCCATGGCCTGCATAAATATAAAAACTAAGAAAGGGAAAGTGCATTAGCTGCTCTTAGCATTGGACTATTTGCTTGGCCTGTGCTTACAAGACGGGCACTTATCAAGATATTCTGATGCGGTGTATGTGCATGTGCGCGTTTGTTGATACTTGTGCTCTTCTGCAGGCCCCAGTCCGGCAACCATCAAGAGGTCTCCAGACTGTAGTCGTCCCAGTTCTGAATGAGGTAAATACTTGTTGAGTTGTCTTGTGACATAGGGTTGGTGTTGTCTTGATGTAAAACTTCATATGGCAGCAAGAGTACTCACTTGTGGAGGCTAGTTCTTTAGTCTGCTTTTGTGTTGCTGCCTTTTCTGATCAGCACCTATGGATAGTTACTATTATCATCAAGAGTATATATAAGCTTCCAAGAGTGTGCAACTCCTGATACCCCTTCTTTGGGGTTCGCCGACGGCGGTAACTCACATCACGTGGTGTAGTGTTCTAGTTGTACGTTTCCAGCCCGTTTTTCGCGCGTGCACGGGAGTAATAAAAAAACACTCTCTGACAGAAACTCACTGGGCATATGCAACTCGCCAGCATGATCATGGCAGATATTCGGATTACGCTCATGCTATCCTTCGTTTGTATGTACATGTAGCACTCTGGGGAGCTTATTTACTCTTGTTAGTGTTGGTTAGTTGTGTTACTTTGTCCCTCTTCTACGTCTGTACTTGGACAATGCAGTGAAGTTCAGTACATGTTAGAATGTACCATGTTTATTATAACATACTCTAATTTCAGAAATTTTCGGTGCTCAATATTTTCGGTATGAGGGCAACAGGCTAGGTTAGGCGAACAGAAATTTTCGGTACAGAGAAGCACTTCCCTATTGTATTATGTGTGTTAGTGTTTGTTCGGTGTATCGAAATTTTAGGTGTGAAGTAGACGCACCGAAAGTACCGAAAATAAAAGTACACCGAAAATTTGTGAAATTACAGTACTATGGGCTATATAGTATTACTTTTGAGGTCCTCATCATAGTGCAAGTCATTCGACTCTGGTTATACAGCACATGGGGCTATACAGTACAGATGTGTATGGTCCCCGGAGGTGTATGTTATACTATAGTGTCACTGTACATTGGGATGCGTCGTGTTCACTTGTCAGGTACTTGATTAGCAACCTGCAACTTTCCTGTTCTGCCTTGCCATACCCATCTCTTGTCCAATCCACAGCTGCAACAGCGACCTGGTGCCGAAGCGGGCTCCATTCGGGAGCTACAGCAAGCGTTTGAATTGGCAGAGGTCTCGTATCCAGGTATCACAGATGATCTCCTGCAGCACATTGTACAGCAACTGAAGGCGTAAGTCTGACTTACCGGGAACTCTCTTCCTTCGTGTTTATGACTGCATTAACTCAGTGAGACATTGCTGGGTGCTGTGGTAGTCATTTCCTCCCTTTTTGTGCAGTGCGTCAGAGGTGTTTGGTGCATGTGTGTGTGTGTGTGTGTGTGTGTGTGTGTGTTTAGTCAGGAACTAAACATCATTTTGCAGAGATTTCAGATATGGCTTTTTACCTTCTGAGCAATGTGCAATGTACACAATGCACGACTGTCGGTGCCATGGTGCCCATCACAAAGTGCATGTACAGTAAAACCTGTAGTTGCCGGACGCAGTGCCAAACGGAATCCTGTATTAACCACACGCATTTTCATGCACCAAAGTGCTGTGGATCAAGCGGAATCCTGTCTTTTCAGGTTAGTTGCCGCTGCACCAGGGCGTCCGGTTAGGGCAGGTTTTACTTCATGTATAAACTACCCAAGCGGCAGTTTTTTTGTCGGGGTTGAACACTAGAACCACCTCTCAACACAGCGGCTTGTTTCTGGCCGGTGCTTATTTTTATTTTCGGCGTAGGCCAATATCTGGAAGTGCGGTTAGTGGATCACAGCTTCTCCAGTCGCCTCTACCTACTGTCTGATGGTTGCCTCTTTCCTTTGTTTCTGTTGTTGCTCTGAGCATTTGGTGTTACTCTGTGGCAACTTCGAGTGCAACTCCTTTCATTGTGCGGGTGCTCATGAATAGAAGTGCACGATGTTGACGCTGGCACTTATAGTGTTACTCCATAATTGACCACTACTCTGTGTGTGTGTGTGTGTGTGTGTGTGTTTGCGTTTGTGTGTGTGTTTATTTTGCTTTTCTTGTCCAGAATAAACTGATCGTGTTCATAACTCTGCATTACGCCTGTGCGTCTTCATTTGAGTCCGGAGAACTTGTCGTCGATGTCACCATCTGTGTGCAATGTGCATCTACACAGCCAGCGGTGATGATCTATCGTCCCCATCTTCTGCCGCTATACTTATAGTATCTGGTTGCTGTGCACTTCGTGTTATTTCCTGCCCTTTCCTTATTTTTGTGAGAGAGAGATAATCTTGAGATCTACGCATTCGGTTCTGCGAGGTACCTTTGTGATGTTGTGAAGTGCACATTGTGTTATGTTTCCCTCATAAGTTCCTGCACCCAGCGCTGCCTTCCCGCTGGACTGCTACCGCCCACGTCTGAGCATCTCGCTGCACGTCTGGCGAGTGACCAGCCGTCGTTACGACCGAGCACCGTAGCTGCTCTGCCGATTGACCGTCTAGCACTACTACTGTGCTGTTATGCTGTGCTGGGCACTGAGCAGCGGGCTTGTTTCTCCTGTTACTGTAAGATGACCATCCCGTGGTGTGTCTGTCTGTCCTTGATCTGCTACTGCTGTATTGTGATACAAATTACTCTGCACACCTGTAATCATAATTATGTGCCTTACTACCCGCTATGCGCTTCTGTAAATAGAGCTTCATGTGGCTTCTGAGACTGAACCATTCGTCGACCCGTCGTTCTTTATTTTAAATCTGCTGCCTCCCCAAGGTCACGCCTTCTGTCATTTTAAAAGTCACATGAGTCCATTGCTTCAAATCATCTTCTCTTTTTTTCTACACTGCTTGTAAAAAGATTGCTGTCTTCGTTCTGCTTCGCACTCTATCGGGCCGTCTGCTTAATATTATGCCAACAGAGGGCGGCTTTTGCCCACCGCGGTGTACCATATATGCGTCTTCATTTTAGTGCTATTTTATTCACGCCTCATACTACCATGAAATAGCAGCAGCAGCTGTCTGTGCTTGTTAGGGTTTTTCTCTCCGTTGTCTTCAGCACCGGCAACATCACAGCTGTCTCTTATTCGTTCGCTCGTCCTTTGATAGGACTGCAGATTACATGTTCACTACTCGACCCACCCCTTCCTTCCTTCGTTCGTGAGGCCTTCTCCAGTGTTCTACGCCTCACCCTGGCTCCTCTGGTTCATCTTGAAATATGTTGTTCTTTTGACATATTTTGTGTATGAATGTTTTCATATCCCGTACGCTCGGCCGGCCATGGCCGTGCGCTTTATACTCTCTTCGTGCTGTGAAACTTGTGTGTGGGTGTGTTTGGCTTTTGATAAGACAAGTAAGTTAGTTATGCGGCTTATGGTCTTGATTGCAAGCTGTAAATAAAATAGTCAGAAAATAACTGCTGCACTGTCTATTGCGGCAAATGCGCAAGTCGATTCCTCCGCGCCGCCGGGTCATTCCGTATTTCGGACAGGATCAGGGAGTCGTCAAATTTTAATAATTATGGTACATGTACTAAGTATTTGACGACTCTCTGGGCAGCTGGACAGGATCCAGGAATCATGACTGTTTAAAAATTATGCAGTAGTGTGATGACGTAATCCACGTGGATTTATTATTTTCGTTTACAAAATTTGGCGCGGATGAGTTTCAGATTTGAATGACTGATATTATGAGTGATGATTATGTTGATCATGACTCTACAAAGTCACAGGCCATGCATACCGGTATGCATTATGCAGGGCATGATGTGGTCGTGGATGTTGTCCACAGCAATAATAATAATTATTAATAGCAAGAAGAAACACTGCATTGTTGCCATCCTCTTGGCTCAAACTCCACCGAGAATATTCCCCTTTCTTCAACTAAAACCCAAAAGGAGAGGAATGAATCAGAAGCGTACTCGAGCCTGAGAGTGAAAGGTCAAAACTAATGATAATGCATGTACAGTGTACTTGTATCTCCCGGTGTGCATTCTCAGTCACATTCAGGCCCTCTGTAGCTGAACTGCAGCGTCTGCTGTTTCTGAAGCGTTTTAGCTATCCATCTATGATCTACGTACAGACGCTTGCTTTACCCCTGGCACTCCGCGTGACCGGCCGCCTGCAAGTAAACTGTGTGCCAACGTTGCAGAGTTTTGAGAAAATTCTTTGAAGAGGACGAAGTTTGTTGTTGAAGCAATGAAGTACAGGTTTGGCTAGACGCCTGAATACAAATTTAATCTTGAGTTGTTTTTGGGTCTCATTTTCATTGACTGCCTAAAACCCGTCAATACCGGCTGGAAGTGGTTAGGTTTGAGGCTATGGAAGTTCGTTGTGAATGGAACGAATGCCCCAGCACATTCACGGATATGGCTGACCTACCTGTTCACTGCAGAAAGCATATCAATGAATTCCACCCTATGCCCAGTGACGCCTATCTAAGTCAGACTGCATTACTGGACCTGGGTGATGATGACGATGAGGAGCAGCTCACTGGCAGCGTCAACCTGCGCTGCCTGTGGAGGGACTGCCAGTTCAAGGCCACGTCTACGTTGGAGCTGGCCTTGCACGTCGGCTTTCACCCGCAGCACTGCGTCCTGAAGGCACTGGGCGCCGCGCACCAGCAGAAAAGCGGCCTGCACGCGTGCTCTCTCAGCGTGGAGACACGCAGTGTTATTCCTGACATTCCGGCGCCGTATGCGTGCGGCTGGGAGGACTGCAACCAGGAGTTCAGAGAGCCAATGCTGTTCTACCGGCACATCAAAGATCACATTGCAGCAACGCCACGCTTAGTGCGGCCTGACGGAGAGCCGGGAATCCGCCGCTATGTTCCCTGCGGTTGGACAGGTGGGTGGAAAACAAAGGCGCCTATTGCCGAAACTCTTGTGTTTTGTATGAGCAATGCCGGCATGTTATTACATCAAAACGTGGTCTGAGTCTCTGTTACCAGTTGGGCTCCTTATCAAGTGTCTTTTGACTGGAAATAGCAAAAGAGAAGCAACAAGAAATCACTTAAAGTAGAGGATAGTGGTGGGAAATTAACAACTAATCACAAGGAGATTTAGTACTGAAGATAATGAGCACTTCTAGTGAAGCGCCCAGCAAGGTGTATGTGAAGTTTTCCATAGCCAAACAGGTGTGATATAATGACAACCACACTCTGAAGGAGTACTGTTAACGCAATGCTCGCCTACTAAATGATGACCTCTCTGTTTTCGTGAAAGTTCTTATGGGATGCCAATTGTCAAGAGGCTGCTGTTTATGATGTTGCTACGGGCATTTTTTAAATTACCCTCTCCAAGAAAAGTCTCCAAGAGAAAGAAGAATGGATTCCACACAGCTGGATACTTTCAAGAAAAAGGAGGTTAGCCACATGGTTGCTCATTCACTACTGTAGCCACGTGGTCAGTGTGTGAAGGCAGCTTCTGAGGGTTGTGAGTCGTATGGCCTTTCTTGGAAGTATGATACTGTGTGGAGTCCACTCCTCTCATTGTGTGTGTGTGTGTGTGTGTGTGTGTGTGTGTGTGTGTGTGTGTGTGTGTGTGTGTGTGTGTTTACAGGCTGCTCTCAACAGACTTTGAACCGCACTCGGCTGAGCGATCACGTTCGTACGCACACTGGCGAGCGAGTCATTGCCTGCCCCGTGTGCGGAGGATTGTTCATTAACGCCACTAAGTTCAGTGATCATCTTACTCGTCAAGTCACCACTGATAGTAAGATGAAATGCAGTACGATATGGGCCACCCCTGCAGCATTCAATTCAATAGGCCATGTGCTCATGAGCGAGTTGCGGATAGGCCAGGGTTTACTGTAATGTATGCTAGATGACTTTGTGTCTGCATGCACCCAGTGGTCAGGTATTTTGGTCTGAATAATTAATCCCAGCACCAACTGCGATGCTGCTCGATGAAATCTAATCATCGTGTGAGTCAAGCCAGCACCCTGCACCCGGGCATAGCCCAGTGAGTGCGTTCGATTATGCACGCGAATCGATTCATGAATCCATTCGCATGCATTCAAGTCGTTTGATTTTCATGTCACGGGCCCTGGAATCGATTCAGAATCCATTCACTCCATTCACATGGGGTGATGTGAATAGCGCGAATCGATTCATGAATCGTGCAAAATCGAACGGACTCACTGTGTAGAGGTCTGGGGCTTCACCACAGTACTAGTACCCGGCGCATGCTTCATCGCATCATTGAGCAGCACTGTAGTAGACTGTACAGTAGTCTGCTCGGCTACAGGATGTCTTCACAAGTTGTATGTGCAATTGTGGATACCGGTGGTCAGGTGCATGCACTTGTCCTGCGAGTAGTAACACATCCCATGTCTGGATTCTCTGTGTGTGTGTGTGTGTGTGTGTGTGTGTGTGTGTGTGTGTGTGTGTGCGTGTGTACGTATGTGTGTGTGTGTATGTGTGTGTGTGCTTATGCGTGTGCTTATGCGTGTTTGTGTGTGTGTGTGCGTGTGTGTGTGTGTGTATTCAGCTGCCTACTACCAATGCTCACATTGCTGTAAACGACTGCAGTCGGAACGTCTCCTCCGCGATCACATGCGACAGCACGGTACGTGGAACACACTATGCCACGCTGTGACGTGTCTCCCAAATTATTCTGAACTCATCCCTGGCAGCTGTTTCTTAGCGAGACGGGTCAAGCATGCATGTATGGTTCGCGATGGGCGCATGCACACGAGAAGCCAAGCAGTAACACATATCTTTTTCTGTTCCAGGTCTTATTGGCCAGGGATACGCTTGATCCTGACAAGCATACACTATGTAGTAGTATGTAACAATGTTTATCGTAAGCAACCTTGCTCCAGACTGCAGCTATTCTCGAATGATTGGGCCAACGTCTTTGAGCTTCTGCAGCGCTCATCAATGGGTAGTGCCAGGACTATGTGACTTGTGTCCATATTCCAATCATTGGAGAGTGCTGCTTAAAGAAAACGGGGCGTCGTGGGTCAGCTAGGCCTGGGCGTTGTGCAGCCCTACACCTGCCAGAACTTGTATGTACCCTGGTGTAGGGCACTGTGCGGCCCCAGAGCTGCGTTGTGTGCTTGTGTAGGATGCTGTGCAGGCCCAGACCTGCTAGAGCTGCGTTGTGCGCTGGTGTAGAGTGCTGTGCAGGCCCAGACCTGCTAGAGCTGCGTTGTGTGCTGGTGTAGGGCACTGTGCAGGCCCAGACCTGCTAGAGCTGCGTTGTGCGCTGGTGTAGAGTGCTGTGCGGCATCAGACCTGCTAGAGCTGCGTTGTGCGCTGGTGTAGAGTGCTGTGCAGGCCCAGACCTGCTAGAGCTGCATTGTGTGCTGGTGTAGGGCACTGTGCAGGCCCAAACCTGCTAGAGCTGCGTTGTGCGCTGGTGTAGGGGGCTGTGCAGCCCCAGACCTGCTAGAGCTGCGTTGTGCGCTGGTGTAGGGTGCTGTGTGGCCCCAGACCTGCTAGAGCTGCGTTGTGCGCTGGTGTAGAGTGCTGTGCAGGCCCAGACCTGCTAGAGCTGCGTTGTGTGCTGGTGTAGGGCACTGTGCAGGCCCAGACCTGCTAGAGCTGCGTTGTGCGCTGGTGTAGGGTGCTGTGTGGCCCCAGACCTGCTAGAGCTGCGTTGTGTGCTGGTGTAGGGCACTGTGCAGGCCCAGACCTGCTAGAGCTGCGTTGTGTGCTGGTGTAGGGCACTGTGCAGGCCCAGACCTGCTAGAGCTGCGGTGTGCGCTGGTGTAGGGCACTGTGCAGGCCCAGACCTGCTAGAGCTGCGTTGTGCGCTGGTGTAGGGCACTGTGCAGGCCCAGACCTGCCAGTTGTGACCTGTGCACTGATGCAGGTGCAGGGCACTAACGTATTCACGAGTGCGTGTTTCATTGATATCAACATTGTACTTGAGTGCCTGTGACCATGCGTAGACTCATCTCATAATGGCCGCTTCTCATGCACCAAGTCATGTCTCTTGATGGCTGCTGCTCATGCACCAGGGCAGCAGTCGCAAGAGCATGCCATTGGCTTGCTTGCCTTGTATTTTAAAAGGTTGTGCAATTTTTTTATACTCCATCTTGTGTGTGTGTGTGTGTGTATGTGTGTGTGTGCATGTGTCCCATATGGTGCAGTGGTATGTGCAACGATTTTCAATCGAGAGATTGCGGGTTCGATTCCCGACGATTATGGTCACACACGTCTTTCTTCTCTTTCTCAGACTCCTCCTGACTTTTCTTTCATTCTCTTGGGTGGTTACCAACAGCCAGTGCATGCCGGAGTATGTGGTGTGATGTGTGTGCGGGAAAAAAATAAAAAAAATACCGAAAAGTAGGGATTCACTGGCCAGAAAAAGCCACTTCATAGCTGTGTGGTGTAGACCAGGCTGAATAGTGGCGGTCAATTCTTCAGCCTTGCAAGCTGTTGAATGGTGCAATCCCAGCACAAGTTGCTATGGCTTCTGCCGTAGTATCGCTATCATCGCCTCCGGTGATGGGTGTCAAATGGTCAAATGGAAATGGTCAAATGGTGTGTGTGCGTGTGTGTGTTTCATGCAGTGAATAGCGTGCACTGTCGTAGTATCGCTATCATCGCCTCCGGTGATGGGTGTCAAATGGTCAAATGGAAATGGTCAAATGGTGTGTGTGCGTGTGTGTGTTTCATGCAGTGAATAGCGTGCACTGTCAGTTATGTAGCATGACGTGTCCTAGTCCAGCCGGCCTGCGAAAGCACATGTTTTTCAAGCACACGTCCGATCGACCTTTCTGCTGCAATTTCTGCACCTACAGGTGAGTGGGTGTGCGTGGGTGTGTGTATGCGTGTGTGTATGAGTGTGTGTATGTGTGTATGTGTGTGCGTGCATGGTGATGCGTGTGGCAAAAATGCAGTTTGTGTAGAGTGATGCTGGGCTGGTACTGTTGTGTGGACACGCAAACTAAAACTTCAGTGTACTCGATTGTAATAGGAATAGATGTGCACTATGCGGTGTCACTGCTGCTTTATGATCAACAAACACAGTGAGGGAAGCTTGTTTTTGCCACACACAGCTGCGCAGTGAATGTGTTTTTCTCCTCTCCTAGCCTTGATCTGCTCCATCAGCTAGCTGTGTGTGTGTGTTTGTGTTTCCATGCTGTTCAGAGCGAAGACACTTGTGGATATGCGGCGCCATTCTGAAAAGCACAATGAGAAGAGTGCGTATGGCTGCCCAGAGAGCGGCTGCTCGTTCGAGTCGCGGACGTACGCGTCTCTCCGTCACCACTACAACCGTGTCCACCGTGTGAGCTCCATTGTGTTTTCTGTGTGTGTGGGAGGGGGGTCACAGTGTGTGTGTGTGTGTGTTTGTTTGTGTGTCACCGTGTGTGTGTGGGAGGGGGGTTAATTGATGAACAATATCTATTGGTGCTATGTGGGACACAAGTTGAAAACACTCGAATGGCACATTCCGCTTTCCCGAGGATACTTGGAGTGTTGGCCTGTCCCAGAGTATCTGTAAAACAAAATAAATAAATATAAAACGTCATGTGACATGCGAAGGCCGTAGTGAAATGTTACCCAGTCTGCCTCGAGAAGCTGTAGGGTGGGTAGGGGTCTCAGCCAACATTTATGGCAAATTTAAATCCTTGTGCATGTACAGTCAGACCTCGCTTAACCGCACACATCTGTTTTCCACAAAAATATCCGGATAGGCGAGGGAACCGGATAACTGAACACACATACTGTATATGCATGTGGCATGTCATAAGCAGTGACATCGTACATACATGTAGACGGGTCCTATGCAGTACAACTAGCGTGCACAGTATGTAAAACAAGCGAGAAAATGACAAGTGCATGCAACTAAGTGCTGTCCACATGCACCCAGCAGGTCAAGGACCTCATTTGCCTGTACAACTCCCTGATTCTAGCATCTGGAAGCCACATGCAACCGGATACGACGAAGCTTTTTGTACACATTTTAACCAGTTTGTACACAAAATCATGCACCTGTATGCGGATCGCGAGGTCCGGTTATGTTGTATGCATAACATATGCTGCACATCGGTAACCAGCGATTTTCTTCCGGATGGCGAGGGATCCGGATAAACGAGGACTGACTGTACTTCTTTTTGTCCTGTGCGCACATGTGTTTGTGTGTGTGTGTGTGTGTGTGTGTGTGTGTGTGTGTGTGTGTGTGTGTGTGTGTGTGCGTGTGTTTTTACAGGAGGGCAAGGACACGCAGCCGAAGAAGTTATACTGCTGCCAGGTGTGCCACCGCACGTATCGGCGCGGCCAGGACCTGACGCGCCACCTGATGCGCAAGCACCACTACAAGCACCCTCCGTCGCACAAGCGCTTCCGCTACATGCGCGGCGAGGACGGATTCATGTACCTGCAGCTCATCCGCTTTGAGTCGGCCCTAGCCACGTCCGTAACCGCGGCGCCCGCGTGGAGCGAGCGGCAGCCCCAGGACGGCGCCGAGTATGCTGTTTCTGACGGCCAGCCTGGCGAGGATGAACAGTATGAGGACTGGGAAGAAGGTGATGAGTACGCCGATGAGGATGAGGATCTCCTCTACGAGGAAGAAGACATGGAGTATGAAATGGAGGACTACGAGGTGAGGTTCTTTGCTGCTGATTTTATTGGACTGCCGATGGCGTTTAACGTGGTGCCTGCAGTGTCTGACTTCTCTTTGTTGTGTGCAATGGCCGTGCCGGGCGGGTCACACTGATGTTTGTTGCTAGGAGTATTCACCGACTTCTCCGAACACCGAGGTGGTTCAGACGTCACCAGTGCAAGCACAGGGTGAGTTGCTATGGCAATGTCTGCCGTCACTGTTGTCTGTTTTTTTTAAGTAACTAGCCAGCTGCAGAAGTCACGAATACCTTCCGGGGTGGAGGGGCAAGCCAGCGGCTAGCGTAGTTCCCAACCGCCTGATTCATGCGCGAATGCTAGCAGTGCCATCAACAGTAGAACACGTACGTTTTGCTGTGCTAACGACGGAACGCTTTGAAGCCTGTGTGCAGTATTGTAGAGGTGTCGTAATTCCACGGACAACTGGTTACTAAGAGTGTACTGTCATGTACAGTAAAACCTGTCATGAGAGACTACCTGTCATGAGAGACTACCTGTCATGAGAGACTACCTGTCATGAGAGACTACCTGTCATGAGAGACTACCTGTCATAAGAGACTACCTGTCATAAGAGACTACCTGTCATGAGAGACTACCTGTCATAAGAGACTACCTGTCATGAGAGACTACCTGTCATGAGAGACTACCTGTCATAAGAGACTACCTGTCATAAGAGACTACCTGTCATGAGAGACTACCTGTCATAAGAGACTACCTGTCTTAGAAGGCCACTGTGATTAAAGACCATCTCTCTTTGCAGACCGGTCGTCTCAGGAATATTGAGACGAAAATAAACTAGAAGACGTGTGCGATTGGTGGCCAGGCTTCAGGTAGGATGTTAGGTCGGCTGTAGAACGCACCGGCAGCAGTGTGCGTGGGTAACTGCAGCTTGCCCAAGTGCTGTCATATGCCAAGTGAGCTGCTTGACTCTTCAGTTTAGTACCGTATGTCGTTTGATGCAACTCGCACTGTATTGCATAGGAGTGGATGTGTAGGTTGTTGCCCTTTTTTCACAGATGTTGAGTTACATTTATAGAACGGTGCGAGCAGTTGTCTTGCTTCATGTGCGGTGTATTGCGAATCAAAGAGATTTTACAACCTGTTTCCCTCTGTTGCATACTAACAGATGGTAGCGAAATACTTGACTCAGTAGGTACCCAGGACAGCCAAGCAGCCGCTGCTTCAGTGGAATCCCCAGAGACTGAGGGCACAGCCACCGCAGCTTCGGAGCAGGTTCCAGCTGGTGCTGAGGATGACCGCTATCAGTCGGCCATGGCAATGCTGGACTTGATCTCCGCTGGCCAGGACATTGTACCATCGCCATCCAATGATGTGCAGGCTTCAGCAGAGTCGGCCAATCGCAGTAAGGACATTCCCCCTGAGTATTTTCTAGTTTTCTCTGTACGTTTCTGTAGCGGAGTCTTGCATTGTGCTGTCATACTGGTGATGAATGGCGATAAGGTCTGCTGCAGAGGAGCGGGAGTTGGTATTTTTTTGTTGGGAGGGTAGGAGAGGGGGGGGGGGGAGGAGGATACTCGGCTTACTGTAAAACCGGAAAGTCTAAGGAGTCACACAGTCTAACGTTTTAACGAGCAATTTTTTCGTTATTTGAAGAAACGTTATCGCGAACCCGGTTCGAGATGTCTGTGTAAAGATGCAGTTACAGATGGGTGGCCAGGTAGCCATCGTTAAACTTTCTGCACGTTATCATGCCAAAATTACAAACACGTTGAACTTTTTGGTCGTTAAACTTTCCGGTTTTACAGTACCAGAGGTCAGGCAATTCGAACCTCATGAATCCTAGGTGGGAGTAGGCCCTTTCTTTTTCAAGTTTCCGGATGCACCTTAGACAAAACTTTTTAAACCTCTGCGTGCGCGTGTTGTTTGCCCGGCGTGCTATTCGACAGGTCTTGGATTGCTGCAGGGACTTGCTCAGCTCACAGGTCAGTCGATTGAAGCCGTTGCACAGTACTTTGCTGAGAGTGCTGGCGATGTCGGTGCACAAGACGTACAGTCTTCACCAGAAGCTTCTTCAGCTATGTGATGCGGTTCATGCAGTGTCTCTGGTGCAGTGGCAACACTGTATGGCTCGGGGGCCTGTCGTCTAGTCCAGGATGTTCTCCAAGCATCAACACTTTAGCAGTGTGTGTGTGTTTGCGTGCGTGTGTGTGTGTTCTAGGCTTTTCGATTTTGACTTGATTAGTTTTAGGTGTTGTTGTGTGTCTGCCTCCCTCTAATTTCTAGTGTTTGGCCGTCGTGCCTTGAGGTATGTCTAGATCTTGTTTCTAACATGTTCTCGCATGTGTGGTGAGAGATAGTGAGTTTTCAGATGATAAGTTTTCAAGGGCATTGCACCTGCTTTATTTATTTATTTAACGTTTGGTTCTGTTTTGGGTTTCTCTGTGGTGCTTATCTGCTAACACATGTCAACAGTCTATTGCCAGGAGCCGGTCTCCTGGCAAGAAAGAATAAAGGTGATAACGTATACCTCAGCCCTGTCCTGTTAAAGGTGTTGTTGCGGTGGAGTGGAAATAACGGCAGGATCAAACTCTTGCACACCTAACTACTTATGCTTCCTCAAGCGCATACCGGTACTACGCGTCCGTCAAGTGCTCTTTGGATATGGCTGTTTATAGAGTGGCTCGCGTCGTGAAACATCTTGTTATCATCTGTAACTTGTGCAGCTCTGCCGCTGTAGCCTGTTAGTGCATTGTGCACTCGCCATGTGGGCATTGTGTTGGTACCTGTAGCGACTGGCTGTGGTGCGTGTGTTAATGTTGTCTAGTCGTGTACATGGTTCGTTATGTTCTTGTTGGGGCAGTGCTGGTGTTTGCACAACTTGCACACCTACTTCGTCATCGTATTGATGTTCATGGCCTGTTACGTGTGTGTGCCGCTGCCTGGCGTGACACTGAAGACTACTCCATTTCAAAATAGAGGTGCATTTTTTAGGAAAAATTCAGCATGGTTTCCTAGTTTTCTTCAACGCCTTTCAAGTCCTTGGGAATGTTCTTGACGGCATCGCGCTGCTTTCTGAGCGGCATTTCTTCTCGTAGTATTCGCGTCTTAGGTTATGTTTTACGGTTCTGCAAGACTTTGGTGGTTAGCATAATCCTTTACGAAGTTTAGATACCGGTATGCAGAGTACATGCACGTGCTGCACTGCAGCAGCGCAATCTAGAGTCCTCCAGAAATTTAGGGAAGTTTGTGCATGTACATTCGAAGCCTGGTTTGAGAACTTGCTGCGAATCCTTTTAAAACTCAGTGTCAATGTTAAGTTTATTGCTTTTCATATTTAAAGTTTGGGGCGAAGAGTTGCCTAATTATTGTAAGTTTTAAGCAAAATAAATAGTTTAAATCAGATTCAGAAAAATACCTCAACAGCAATCAACACAAGTGATCAGATGAGCGAGGTATACGAGCAGACTGGAGTTGCAAATGCTCCCTAAGTGTAGACCAACTAAACGTGTTACTTCATTCCCTAAAGTGTGGTCACAGACTTTTGGAACTGCAGTACAGTATGTATCCGAAAGAGGGAAAAAAACCCCGGTGACCATCCATCTGCCCATACTCCGCATCATCGTTCAAGAATAAATAAATTGTAAACCTTAATTGTAAACCTTATGCCAATGCTTCTCTATATAATTATATAATAAAAATGTCCCTATTTATATTATATAAAATTAATATGGGCATTTTTGGATCTATTTTGAAGTACATGACATTGCATCACTACCAATAGTAGCTGAGAGATATTTCAGCAGCTGAGTTGTTTATCCTAACCTACTAACTTAAGAAGCAGCAGTACTTGTAATACAATAAAGCACAGGTTCATTTGGTGCCTCACCACGTTAGCTTAGAAACAGATGGCATGGTGCCTACGCCCTGGAAGCGTGTTCCTCTGCGAGAGCATCCATCTCTCTTTGGATGTACTGAAATATGCCTTTGTCCATGATGGCTGCAACGTGGTTCACGTTCGGGAATGTTTTGAGCACAACCGGCTGTGGCTGCTTTCCCACCCAGTTCTTACAATACTCCAGACTGGGCAGGGGCACCGTTCCATCACCATCACCGATGATTTTCTTCTCAGGTGCAGACCTGTCCAGTGCACTGTACTTGTAACCCCAGGCTGTGTCTACGTTTGTTCCATAGATGCAGTACATGCGAACACCGGGGGGACCATGTATCATTTCACGCTTGCTCATCACATTGGCAAGCCGCTCCTGGGCATGGCTAATGTTCAGTGCCTGCAGCAGCGCTACATAGTCTGACACACCGTACGACTTGCTCGTCTCCTCCACAATGATCAACTCATCGGACACATCATTTGGCCAGAGTCCAGGCATTGGCGCTAAGAACAGGGTACTTTCGAGTGACCGCTCCATATCAATGAGATCAGCTACTGGTGCTGGTGTGCCAAACCCATCGCCAGACACTATGGCCTCGAGAACTTTGGGAGAACCGATCCACACACCTTCAACGGGAAACCATGCCTTGATGTGCTTGTCTCTCCAGTCACTGGTGGTGGTGTTGAAGAATGCTTTCAACACCGGGCCACCCATACTGTGTGAGATGACAATGGCTGGTGCATTGTACTTAGCAGTGACATTCTCCACTAGAGCTTGCAGCCTCTCAAAGTACCCATCCATGCTCCCTGAGCCAAGACACAAACAAAGAGAGACAAAACGATGTTTGTTGTCCATCCTGTGATATTGGAAGAGTGATGAATGTGCAATCGTTATTGTCTGAGGGGTCTAAGTAATAGCAGAAGTAGATCTTTTTTTTTTTCTGGGGGGGGGGGGGGGATAGAAAAACAAAACCAGCAGGTCTAAGTAGTTGGAGGAAGAACGAGCTTCAAAACATAGGCCATCTTCAAATCATAGAGGGTCAACAGCAGTGGTGTCGAGTGCGAGGTGACAATGAAATTTTTCAGATCGTTTTCACCAAACTGGCACATGACTCCAGCTTCTACTAGCCGTACATGAAGAGACTGGCCGTGGGTTCGCGTTGTCGCGTAACGTGCCATGAAGAAGTCGCTCATCAGTCGCGCGCACCATGGCAACAGGCAAAGTGTGATGGAGTGCTCCAGTCCAGTGGGGCAAGTGATCATGGTCACAGGAGCAGAGCACACAGCACCGTGTGTGCTTAGTACTAGTGTACAGCAGTGTACTTACACCGGTGCTCTATCTCTAGAGCTGAGTTCTAGTAGTGTATAACATACAGTGTACTTACAAGGTGACTTTCTCCAGTCGTACGGAGCTGCTACAATGCTCTCATCACGCTCGTAGCCAGCGTTGTCGACGAAATACTGCACCATGTCATGGAAGTACTTTGTTTCGGCCCGAATGATAAAGTCTGTGCTGTTGTCCAGATACTCGATGGATTTGGTTGATCCAAAGTTGGGTATTCTGGTTTCAATGCCTTCTGGGTCATTGTACTTTAGCGTATTCACATCAAACTCCAATCTGACAGCAAGAGAGCAACAGGGAAAGCAGGGACAATTGCGCCGTGAGTGCTTGTGAAAAATGACGTGGAATACAACAATGCGTCTCTGCTGAGCAGCTTGATGTCCACCATTACCACTACATGTACCGGGAGCAATAGTACCGTAAAGTACCACCAGAGCGCCCCACCATCTCGTCCTTTAGTGGTCGTATTGTGGAGGTGGTCTGCTGTCTGTAGGTCATACGACATGAACCTTGTACACATTATATAGCACGTTGTGCAGTCAATCCGTACCTTCGAGCGGACACAAGCTCCACACAAAAACCTGCTAAGTGCGACCTTAGTACACGAAGAGTCTTACATCGTACAAACTTCGTTGCACTCTGCCATACGATTTTCCTTTCTCTGTCTGTAGACTCAAGGTGGGGCGCTCTCGCGAGACGGGGCGCTCTGGCGGTACTTTACGGTAGTAGTAGTAGCAGCAGCAACCCAGATATAGCAGCAGCATCATGAAACCAATGTGCAATACAGATAACACTCCGGGGAATCCCCTAAACCGGGCTTCAAAAGGACTATAATTTGTAGTTCTCTGTCAAATGCAACCTGCATATTAATTAATTTTAGGATATTAAAGTTCCTTGCTAAAATTACCGCCAGTCCTGGTGGTGCTACTATGGCCTGGTCGCCAATTTAGGAAGCCTGAAAATCAGTCCATCTATCACTCAACTCACTGCAAGTCCCGTAATGTACACATAGAAGAGAAAATCGCTCAGGATTTAGATTGCTACTCAGATCAGAGTTTCTTTCCTAGGACAATCTTCCAACAACCGATAAAGGCGAGGAAACCCCCAGGAGGGCTCCTTTATAGATGGGATCAGCAGGAGACGGCAAGTACAGGGGGTTGAGTGCTAATAGCTCGCGCTAACATAAAGTTGTAGGAATTGTCGAGGTGGGTGATGGCTTGGGAGCATGGCAATCCATTCAGTGGTTGCTGAGGGTTCAGTCGGTCATCAGAAGACCCCTATTTTGCCTGATTAATCATATCATGTACTTGATATTACAGTAGAGATAATCGGATTATCTCTACTGTAATATCAAGTACATGATATGTATTATTTAAATTTATTTTGATTATTACAGTAGAACTCCCCATTATCTGGGCAGGCTGGGACCGTACGCTGTCCGTACCCAGGAATTGGCCGTCGCTCAGAACATCATACGTACTGCATAGAAGTAGACACGTTCCATGCCAATCAATATTTTGGGGGGCTTTTTTTCACTGAAAAGCCGATTTTTTGTGACCCGGGAGAGGTCAGAAAGGCGCCCAGTAGACGGGCATGTCCTTATTAGGGGCGCCCGGATAAGGAGAGTTTTACTGTACTTACGACATGTCAATGGAAAAGCAGCGGACAAGACCAGGCAAGACCTCCTTAATGCTGAGCCAGGCTTGTCTCCAGCTGTTAGTAGAGAATACAACACGGCAGATGTCCGGGTACGGTATCTTCTCCGTATGCCGCACATCAATCTGGCTGCCAGCGATGCCGGGCACTAGATAGAGAAAAAGTTCGCAAAACCCAAGTTCCCCATCAAACAGATAACACAGGGTCCACAGCAGCCTGGCGTGCATATGTGTCACAGTACTACTAGCAGGGAGTAGTAAAAATACCGGCTGACAGGGAGTAGTAAAATACCGGCTGACAGGGAGTAGTAAAATACCGGCTGACAGGGAGTAGTAAAGTACCGGCTGACAGGGAGTAGTAAAATACCGGCCGACGGGGAGTAGTAAAATACCGGCTGACAGGGAGTAGTAAAATACTGGCCGACGGGAAGTAGTAACGACAGGGAGACGGGAAGTAGTGGTTTTCCCGAATAAAGCTTTGAGTAAACTACCGGCCGGCAGGGAGTAGTAAAATACCATACTAAATACGGGCCAGCATTTTACTACTCCCGGGTACAGTACTATGTTGTTGGTTGACAGCATGTAACAAGGTGGAGACCGCTGTGTTCGGAAACAGTGACCTTACTACAACCATCCACCAACAACATGTTTCAACAAAATCAAGGTTTATCTAATTCCCTGGTACTAGTAGCTGTTGGGCACCCAAAGACCAGGGATCAGAGTTGCAACCTAGGCTGTTCTTGTCTTTCATCACCTACAGTCTACTGTATTGGACATTGTACTGTTGTGGACATTGAAGCCCGGTGAGAAGTCAAGTGGCCACGGGGTGCTGGCCTCGCAGGCGTGAGTACGCATAGTCGCATACGCTACACTTTCATAATACTAACGGTGGAAAATTCAAGAAGTGTTCTTATATCCTCTCTGGATTTTAGGAGACTCTCCAAAGCTCTCCGAACTTCAGGTGGTTGAAACTTGGAGATTCCTCGTTTTGGGGTCAGTGCATGCGAACTACTGCTAAAAGTCACGTGTTGATCATGAGTGTGCGGTATTGCCTTTTCGCATACACACAGTGCGTACTACATTTATGTCACTCAAGATCGCGGCCCCTTTGCCCCTTTGGCGCTTCATATGCAAAAGACCTCCGAATTCTTCGAGACCCGTTCCTAAATTATCCCAGTGTCTTCCAACTTCCAGGAGAACTTTCTCCGAGAAGCTAGAGAAAATAAGAACGCACCCTAATAGTCCAAGAATTATGGACTCTTGATATGACTTGATAGCGTACTGAACTGCTGGTCCATGTTAACATGTTGGCAGTGTGTACGTGAACTACTATTATTGTAGTACAGTGTGTATACACATTGCCAAATATGGACTGTATGAGCAATGCATGTGAGTACTTTGGGATCAGCAATGCACTGTTCAACACCCCATCCCACACGACCATGCCCAGGTCACGCAGGTGGCTGTGTGGGGTACCCGGGTGTTTATGGTACAAATTACGTCATTAGACACCCTTAGGCCTTAGCAAACAACGGTAACGCTATTTTTTTACGGTACTCGTACCTTGATCACCCAAATAGCGTTGATCAATTGAAGCTGCAGCGTATAAACGTTATGGGGGCTGATTTATCGTTGTGACCAACGGTACGTGTTTTGGCCAAATATTGCATAGTCCGTACGCTTTTCACCTTGTATCGCGTATATTAAGGTGACAAAAATGGTTGTACCGCCCGAACTAAAAGCTATTCTCGTGGCAACAGCGTACTAAAAATAGCGTGCATCTTGCTAAGGGGTCGTCGCAAAAGTTTTTTGTCGTCCCTGAAACGAACATGATTCGTTTGGGGGGGAGGGGGTGCGAGCCAAAATCGCAAGTCAACCGACACTGTACATATGACATGTACATGCATGCGATTTTCGTCGTCCAGCATAGCAAGCTGTGTTCGTTTCAGAGGGAGGGGAGGGGGTCCAAGTACGAAATGAACGATGTTCGTTTCAGGGACGACAGAAAACTTTTGCGACGACCCCTAAAGGTCGAACCCAAATCACGCTATTTTCCCCCTTACGATAATACCGTTACAACATAACGTTTTTTGCTAAGGGTGTCTATTACCACCGGATTTCAACGTCCACAACGGTAGTTGAGTGACGGTGTCACACTGGTACACTGCGCAGGCTGAAATCTAGTACAGTACTGAAATCCTGGCCTGTTCGTTCTTCATATCAGCATCCAACAGTACTGTGCAAAGCATACCTCCGTACCACACTCACACTGCAATGCCTTGTTCTGTACTGAAACACACAACCAACCAATGTTATCATGCATGACCTCTCGATTCTGCCAAAAACCGCGACTTTTTCCAAACCGTAAAAGCCCGTTATAAGGCCCTGGGCGGAAACGTTAGTGAAGGTCCAGAACATGGGTGTCAATTTGGGCCTGGACGTTATTTCGGATAAGTGAAATCAGACTGATTTTCACATCATGCCGTACTACTGCATGTAAAATCAGGTTAGCACAGTGCACTGTACACTAAGTTATACTGCAGTATCGTACATACACATGGAGCTGTGCATGCACTGCACTGGATAATCATGATCAGATCTAGTAATGGACTTGTCCTTTCGCCAAGAGTACATAACCCCCCCACCCCCCACCCCCCCCCCCCCCCCGGGGGTTATGTACTCTTGCTTTCGCCCATGGGTGTTTACACGGAGGTGGGCTAGAAAACGGGCCAAGAGTGTTGACACTGGGCACTTGGGCGCGCACACGGGTAGTGGGTGTTATACTGGGTGGGCGTTAGTACGGGCTTTTACGGTATAAGCGGAAGTACAGCCAACACTAAACTGGATGCATGGCTGACTCGAAGGCACAAGGACACAAATGTACCATATTACCGGGGTCAAGGTCCACTTTTCCCCCACGGAAACTAGGCAAAAGATGCCCATCTAGCTAATAATATGCAGAATGTGTGTTTCCGCAGTGACATTTCGCATCCAAGAGGGCGTGCACCTTATACACGAGTACTGGTTGCACACCTGAACATTATGGATACCGGTATGTATGGCTTTGTGCTGACTACCCGCAAGATCAATAACTATAATACACGTCAGGGTTCTAGCCAGGTCAAAATAGTAGGGGGGGGGGGGGGAGCAGGGAAACACAGTTACCCCATAACCCATTTTTCCATTTTCAAAATAACTGTCTTGCAATGCGAAATGCAACGTACGGGGCGAACACCTGACTTCACCCCGGACAAATGTGCCTTTATGAACCCTCCTCTACAAGTACTGACAAGAGTCCATAATCCCCCGTCTTGGTACTGACTATCGACTGCATTTTCGTTGAATGGCATGAAAAAACACAAAAATCAGAAAATGAGTGAGGGGGGGGGGGAGGGGGCGGGCGGGCGGCACTTCTTCGCAGGGGGCGCATAAACAGAGTAGGGGGTGCTGTGCCCCTTCCCCCCCCCCCTTTGCTAGAACCCTGCAGGTAGAGTATACATTCCTGTGAGTGAGAAGTATGATTATTGCAATTTTTTTAAAACGCCCACCCCACCTTCACCCCCTCTGTATCAGCTATGACATCGACAGATATAGATGGAACACCAATAATTATTTATACATGTATTTTCAAACCGCACTTGCGTCTACTAGTTTCACTTTGGTCTTTCCGGACATTTTGAATCATCAAAGTGCAACGAAAGATTCTTACCCAACACAATTGGAAACTTGATTGCCACAGAGCATCCGGTCCAGAAGACTAGCAGTAACAGGGTCAGCCTCAGCATTTTCATCGTTCACAGAATGCTCATGAGCTCATTGTTCTGCAGAAGTACAAAAGCTTGTTGGGCTGTTTGACTGCACTCGCAGTGACTTCTTCACTTCAAAATAGATCTCAGACACAGGTCTACACCATTTGAGTAAGTTCTGCCTTCACTGGCTCGTGTGTTGCGTTACCTCGTAGAGTCTACTCTACAACTTTACTTTGTCCGTTTGTGGTCTCCGAAAGGTTCAGGGATACCGAGGAGCTGGTTTCATGCTGGATCAAGCACTCTCTCTGCGAATGCCACGTGAATCTCCCGTAGATCTAGCTACACGTACGTACTAGTACGTGCAGGTATCAAAATGCGTACACCCTTATACGGTAAGATCAATGTACCGCGTGCATGTTCCACAAAAGTCTACAATGACATTGGAGAGGTTTCGTTTCACGTTGTTCTGCAGATCTGCACTACACCGTGAAATTTCACGTCGGTGTGGCAAATTATTTTTGCGTCGAAACTCCCGTTCATGACGTGAGATGAGCTGATGAGGTCAACTCACGTTCGACGTGAACGCGAGTTTTTGCAAATTTAGCCTTGCTATCAGGTTGGGATTATTGACTCGATTTTGTCGATTTTACCTAAACTAGCTAAAATAATATTTGTGCGACTTTGGCCTCACCAAAAATCACTTTTTCACTTTTTGAAGTTTTCGCTCCTATCGTCAGCGAAACGACGTGCTTCACAAGCAACGTGAAGCGAAAGCTCTTTCTGAGCTCACGTCAACGCAAAAAATTGACATTCACGTAAAGCCTACAGTTCACATTCGACGCAACGCCGACGGTACGGGGGACGTAAGGGCTTGTCGGGAGGGCTGGGGTGAGCTGTAAAATCCTGTACGATTCGTACGACACGACATGCAGCAGTCGTTGCGACGTTCACCGTCGAACGGCGCGAGTCATAAGGCACGGCCCGTGACGGGGTGACTTTTGGACCTAATTTCTCGTTTTTCGGGACTTCTTTTCAATTATTTCTCCTTGAAAGAAGCGGAATCAAGTTCACAATACCAGTTTTTCGTGAAGACCAAAAAATTAGCCCTGAAAGTTGTCGCATTCAAATAATAGCCCCAGGAAATGATAGAATAGTTCGTCTGTCACGCTTCTGAACTATCCCTAAATACAATAAGTGACATGAGATCTTATGTTGCTAAAATTCAACTCAAGTCGTGCTAGCCATTCTGTGAGTTATCATGGGAAGCGCAGTGTTCGAAATGCTAAAAATTTCCAAGTACGAATCGGGAGCAGTCGGCGCACGACGCCGTCTCCTGTTCACACTCGAATTGCAGCCGTTTTGTACGCTTGCGTCCCCGTCTACGGTAAGAAAAGGTGGATCGATCCAACTCTTCCCGTCGCTTCCCGATCGAGCAGGTGTCTGGGTTAGAGTCTACGCCTCTCTCTCTACGGCTTCGCGTGTTTTGGCTCCAGATTTCTACGCGGAGATGGGGTTCTCTACGTTGTGGCACACGCAGAGAAAATGCGTAGACGGATTTGCAGGGTATCGATCAACTGCATGCAGAAAACTGCCAAATATGGAAAGGGGAAATTCCCAGTACACATTCCACGTGACTTCTCTAGGTGAAACGTAGAGCAGAACAGCATTTCTTTACGTTACGGGAACGCGAAGAAAGTTCGCGTGATTCTTTGCGTCGCGTTCCCAAAACGTAGAGCAGAACCTCCCTACTAAGAGCACAAAATTAATCACGCGGGTCGGAAAGGCCTCTCTGTACTCCCTAGCTAGCGGCCCTGCAGGCCTGGCGCGCATGGCTAGCTGGTATCATGGGAAATCCCTAACAAAATAAGAAAAAATAATAATAATAATAATAATCAAGAGATACAAAAAGTATTTAATTAATACTCTTGGTACGTAGATATCAAGAGTATAAAAGCTCATTTTTAGTTTTACTCTTGACCCACGTACCCCCATGGCCCAGAGCTTCTTTATTACGGGCAAAGTGAACACAATGGCAATGCAATACAAATTCAAACCCAGTAAAACAAGGGATATTGAACCCAAAGCAAAAGCACTCTATGATTGAAAGTAGCTCATTAATTTTACTCTTGGTTGTGTATTTTAAAAAAAATTCGACGGGTTCGCGTACCGGGCAGCTTCGCAGGTCAAGAACAAGGAGTCGTACAACTCCCTGGTCAAGAACCACCATCTTGGTTGTATCACTAATAACAAGAGTACAGTAGGGGTTATGTACTCTAAGTCTTGCTAATAATAATTACCAAGAGTACATGTATATAACTCTTGTAATTACCGGTAGTGTAGCGAGCTGGCCAGAATGTAATGATTACTGGAATATTAAACAAGTATAGGATATTACCCAAAGGATTTATTTTTTTCTCGCAGTAAACCGCTGGATGATGAGTGTGGACAAGGGCGAGTATTGCGGGGTTGTACTCGTGGACATGAGCAAGGCCTTCGATCGGGTACGCCATGAACTACTACTTAACGAGCTTCAAGCTATTGGCATAAGCGGAGTAGCACTACAGTGGTTCTCCAGCTATCTCCAGGGTCGACGACAACAGGTGAAAATTGGAAATAACAGAGAAGACGAGACACATTGTACACGAGGCGTTCCGCAAGGGTCGGTGCTAGGGCCTCTGTTATTCTCTTTGTACGTGCGACATGTCCCTGGAGTACTTCGCCACGCAGAGTCCCAACAGTATGCTGACGATATCGCCTTTTATATACACTGTCAGTCTACTGGAGAACTTCAGCACAAGTTGACAAGTGAGTTGAACAGACTAAATACGTACCTTGGAAGCATTGGTCTCATCTTGAATGCCCAGAAAACGAAGTTCATGGTGCTTCGGAAGAAGGCTCTGCCTCTTCCGCCGGATCTTACCATTGCATGCGGTGGTGTCGATATTCGACCTTCTGCCACAGCGCGTTATCTTGGCCTCATTATTGACCAACACCTCACCTTTGAGGATCAAGTCAACCATGTGTGTACATCTGTTTATAAGAAGATAGGAGCATTCCGCCGCTGCCGCCGTACAGTAGATCACACAACTAAGCGAATATTTTATTTATCCCTCATCCAATCCACTATTGAATACGCCAGCAACTCGTATGCTCACTGTCTTACACCATCTTTATACTCTCGCCTTGTTACTTTAAGTCATATCAGCATGAAACAGGTTTTTGGTCTCCCTCGCCGTACTACCCCGACTGTCTTTGTTTTGCGGCACGCTAAGTTATACTCCCTCGAATCTCGTCTCAACTTGAGGCTTTTTATTTTTGTTTTCCGCTGTATTCATCAGCTTACAAGTCCTCTTCTTTCCTCAATGTTCACCCTCCAGTCGGCTGCTACTTGCACCGAGAGGCGCACTAGAGGGCAATCATTCTCTTCACTTTCTTTGCCCGCTGCTACCACTAGATATGGCATGTTCTCCATTTCTTTCCTTGGCGCTGATAGGTGGAATTCTCTGCCTGTCTCGTGTCGTCAGGTTGAGCATCTATCCGTTTTTGTTTCGCTCTGTAAAGAGCACTTAGGGTTCCCTGTAACAAGACGGCAACGTCTGTAGGGCCTTCCCTATCAACATAATAAATTCTACTACTACTACTACTACTACTACTACTACTACTACTACTACTACTACTACTACTACTACTACTACTACTACTACTACTACTACTACTACTACTACTACTACTACTACTACTACTACTACTACTACTACTACTACTACTACTACTACTACTACTACTACTACTACTACTACTACTACTACTACTACTACTACTACTACTACTACTACTACTACTACTACTACTACTACTACTACTACTACTACTACTACTACTACTACTACTACTACTACTACTACTACTACTACTACTACTACTACTACTACTACTACTACTACTACTACTACTACTACTACTACTACTACTACTACTACTACTACTACTACTACTACTACTACTACTACTACTACTACTACTACTACTACTACTACTACTACTACTACTACTACTACTACTACTACTACTACTACTACTACTACTACTACTACTACTACTACTACTACTACTACTACTACTACTACTACTACTACTACTACTACTACTACTACTACTACTACTACTACTACTACTACTACTACTACTACTACTACTACTACTACTACTACTACTACTACTACTACTACTACTACTACTACTACTACTACTACTACTACTACTACTACTACTACTACTACTACTACTACTACTACTACTACTACTACTACTACTACTACTACTACTACTACTACTACTACTACTACTGACCAAACCACTTTTACGGGCAAAAAATACCATGGTAAGCACACAAGTGATGGAAAAGAGTGAGTAAGAACGAAAGAGAGAAAGAAAGAGAGAATGCACTAGTATGTCAAGAGAAGTAATCAATTGTTAAGGTCTTTGAGCTATTGTTATATTGTCCAGATTGACGCATGGACACTGAATCTCAGCCGGCAGCCTGTCGACACTGCACCAACAACGACGAGCGGACGCGACGCTGGTAGGATGATCGGCAACCGCGAAAGCAGGTTATTGCCCACCGTACGAGGCAGAATGCCAGCCGAACACGCAATGCACTGACGATGCTTGAATACCGGATGTCTTTATTGCGCTCCGCGAGCCGACCGGCAAGTGTCGCCAGGAATCGTGAGCACTCCGGCCCCGCCATTCCATTCGTGGCGAACACAAGAGGGGTGAAAGAGCCTCTCTCGACTTCAGTGACCCTGGCACCGTACTGCTGCTTCTTTTGCCGTTCATGGGCCCTGAGTTGGTTAAGGACTTCTGGACCAGACAGCACAGACGCCTTAGGGTGGGTTACCCTAACATCAAAATAAGCGTCTTGCTGCCTTGTCCAGAAGCCCCGGGCACGAATGTCCAGCCGAGCCTCATCAGTCCGGTTAGCCGTCGCATAGGGCAGATCCTCGCCAGACAGCGGCCGGAGACGTGGCTCTGTCTCGACATCGTGAACAGCTTCGGAGAGCGTCTCCGCCAGGATGTCACGCACATTATCGTGCCGGGCAGATGGATACCCGCCGGCGGGGCAGGTTAGCAAATGGTCCATCGTGGAGGCATCACCACAGACACAAGTGGACGGTAGCCCAGGGAGCTGCAGACCATACCGTAGAGCAAGTGCATCACGGAAGTCACTGGCATTCAAGACGGTGCCGTGCGCCAGACGAGGCTCCGCCGT